TGGACGGTCCCCTTTCATGGCACCTCCATTGGCTTCATTCATGATGCCTCTTGCTGCTTTCACACCACAGTGAGAGCCTCTGAGACTTGCCCTTGCCAAGTGCCACACGCTTGCTCCCTGGTGCTTCAGCATGAGCGTTTCCCAATTCCTGCCTCATGCAGTAGGATGGCTTCATCCTCTCTCACTCATTGCCACTTCACACTCAGGAAAGAACTGGCACTGCTGGGAATTTGCACAGCACTTGTTTGCGCTTGTCCTCGCTCTCCCTCTCTCTTCACCTAGAATGTTGTTCCTCTCGTTTGACTCATCTCTGCAATCTGTCCTTTCTTCAAGGTATGATTTCAATAACCTTCCCCCGCCCCCGTCCATGAAAAAGGAAAACTCGGTTTCCTGGACTTACCTCCCTTCCAGCCCCCTGCCTCTCTTGCTAGGACCTGCTTGGCGTTCCCAACCCCCATCCATTCATCCCCTCCAGTTCTCCACCCACTCCAGTCCTGTCTCTCTCTTGAGCCTCAGTGAGGCTGGAACGTCTGAGAGACACTTGCTCATACTCATGCCTGCTTCCGGATCTCCCCCTTGACTACTTCCGCCCATGGCGGAGGCCTGGCACTTCACCATACCTACCGTCTGTTCGTTCTCTGACTTACCTGGACCATGTTTTGGATTTTGTTCCATCTCTTTTTTGCTTATCAGGGGCTTGGGTGTCTCCCAAGCAGGCTCTAGGCCCTCACTGGTAATTTTTGGGAATCTGGGAGAGAGTTTTAAGGCAAGGGCCCTAGGATGTGATGCAGCTCAGCCCCTGTAGTGCCAGAGTTTATCTGGATTCCCTAGGCGTGCTGGGGGCCTTCAAGACCATGCCAAGCAGTGCTCAGGAGTCTCTGCACTTGGCAAGGCTCAGGGGACTGGGGCTCGAACCTCAGGGCCACGCTCTAATTGCTATGCTCTCCCAGCTCCTCAGTGGCTGTTTCATAGTCTCAGGTATCTTTAACCCCTCAGGGCTGGCCCAACTCATCACTGATTCCCTGAGAACAGTGAAGCCAAAGTCCTGAGCTTATATCACCGTGTCCACTGGATCCCGGGCATGCTTCTGTCTCCATGAGTACTCTTCTCGTCCACTGTGTCCGCTCCAAATCAGTGCTCCAAATCAGTGTCTCAGATACCCTCCATTTCCCTCAGTGTTCAAATGTCCTGCTGTTACCTCCTCCTGCTCCTTGTCCTGTCCCTCGTAGAGCAAAATTCTTCAGGACATCTCTCTTAGAAACGCTTTCCCCTCATACTTGAAAGCAGTTGCTGCCTCCCTCATTGTTCTGCACGTGTTCTTGTAGAGAATTGTCTGGGACCACATGCAGACACACACACACATACACACACATACACACACACACGAATGCACATACACACATACATACAAATACACACATGGATACACACATGCACACACAAACACACATACACACATGCACACACATACATACAAATATACACATACACATATGCACAAATACACATACACATACACACATGCATACACATACACACACACTGTGCTGAGCCCACTGGTCTTCCCAGACCGGTCGGTCACCATCTGGCATGGCTCCCAATGCCTCTTTCTGGTTCTTTCCCTCATTGAATTCTAGAGCATCAAACCATCTTCTTGGCTCTACTTTCATGCTGCCTATCATTATTGATTCTCCGCTGCTCTTTTTTTTGCATTTTTCTCTTTTGCCTCTTGGTAGTTCTGTGTCTCCATGGTCTGGGAGAGTGACTCAAAGTGCTTCTTTCTTTTTCTTTCTTTCTTTCTTTCTTTCTTTCTTTCTTTCTTTCTTTCTTTCTTTCTTTCTTTTTCTTTTTTCCTTTTTTTCTTTTTCTTTCTTTCTTTCCACATCCAGTCCATCAGGAAATCCTCTGTGCTGGTCATAAAGACATTCCCACACTCTGGACTGTCTCTTTCCCCATCCTCCTGGCAGTCTTTGCCATCTCTCACTTGAATATCCATAGTCCCAGGACTACTCTGCTTCTGTTGTTGGTGAGGGAACCGGAAGAATTCACACAAAGATACTTTAGATGGTTCAGTCACCTTAAGTGCAGCAATGGCTTTACTCTCCAAAGCTTTGTAATGCTCAGGAAACTGATCCCATCTACCCTCCAGTTGCCTTCCTGGTCTCCCCTCAGACTCTTCCTGACCTTGCTCAGTCTGGAGTCTTTTCTCTGATCCTCAGGCTCAGAGCAACAGCAGCTGCCCCTGGGCCTTTCTTCCAGCTGTGCCCTCATCTTTGGATTCTCCTCCCAGCCGGTTATACGATCATGAGGGTGAGCAACCCAGAATGCACTGGAGACCATGTGACCTGTGACTCTGAGCATTGCCTTTTGTACTTTTGCATTCTCTAACAACTTAGGCAATGCCCATCTCTGTCAGCAATGGTCATCACTTTATTAGAAATTAGGTTTTGGGCGAGATGAATTTTCCCAACCAGAGGTAAGCATTCTGAGCATGTTTAAGGTAGATGAGATGAAACCATGATGTTCACTGGGTTAAGTGTATTAAACACTTTTTCCTTTATGGTACTTTTGCCTTGTGATGGATTTACTGGCATGCAACCCTTTGAAAAGAAAAGGAAGAACTATACCTTACCTAACACCAAGATGAAATAAAGTTTTTGTTTTGAGAGATATATATCATGTATTTAAAATAATCAGTAATTCAGAGGCATGTGAAAATAAAAAATTAGATCATTTGCATTTATAGAACTTAATTGTAGTTAACATGTCAAGAGATGTGGCAGTCAATTTTGTCAGGGAGGTCAACCAATCTATACTTTCTATAGGACAACAAATATCATTGGTATTAGTTGATATCTTTTGGTTTCAAACTTACCTGAAATAAAAGCCATTTGCAATCTATCTGACACTATTTTTTTGTTTGTTTATTTGTTTGTTTGGGTTTTTGAATCACACCAGTGATGCACAGGGGTTACTCCTGGTTTTGCACTCAAGAATTACTCCCGATTGGGGATATGGTGCCTCCAACAGGTCAACCTGTACCTGTGAGGTGAGTGCATTAGCAACCTCATGGTGCCTTCAGGCTTCCAGATACCCCAAAATTGCTGCTGTGCCTTTGGCCTGTCACTGTCACTGTCCTCCCATTGTTCCTTGATTTGCTCAAGCAGGCCCAGTAACTTTGTGAGACTTGTTATTGTGTTTGGCATATCGAATACGTCATGGGTAGCTTGCCAGGCTTTGCCATGCAGGCGAGATACTCTTAGTAGCTTGCTGGGGTCTCCGAGATGGATGGAGGAATCGAACTCAGGTCAGCCATGTTGGCTGCGTGCAAGGCAAACGCCATACCCACTGTGCTATTGCTCCAGCTCCCAAAAACTTGGGGCAAAGTTTACCAAGAAAGTAAATGGCCAAAAGTTAGGTATGTGGAGACACACCCACAAACCACCTCCAGCTCAGTTATATAATTGGAGGCCTGGCCTCTCTGGTTCCTGATGGAACTGCTTAACAGCCATGATCCCAGAGACTTAGAAACAAATCTCGAAACTCAGCGGTTTTGGGCAGAAATGCGTCTTGACTGTGCAGTAGGTTACTTTTGCCAGACCATCCCAGGGGGGAAAGGGTGCTGTCCCTCCACTTGTTCCCCCTAGGTGGCTCAGTGGTCGCCATCTTCCAGAGGACATTGGACAATCAGGTTTGGGCCCGCAGTGATGAGATACACAGGGCCTTAAGGGATGGGGGTGGAGCCACTCTTTCCTCTTCACCCCAACAAGACCCCAGTTGCCACCAACGAACAGCCTCTCTGGCTCCTGATCAAGCTGCTTAATGGCCATGATCCCAGAGACTTAGAAACAAATCTCGAAACCCAGCGTCTTTTGGCAGAAATGTGTCCAGACTGCGCAGTAGGTTACTGTCGCCAGGCCATCCCAAGTGGCCACCCACAAACAGCCTCTCTGACTCCTGATCAAGCTGCTTAATAGCCATGATACCAGAGACTCAGGAACAAATCTCAGAACCCAGCAGGTTTTGGCAAGAAATCCCTCCAGATTTAATTGTTAAAATTTTGGAATTTCAAAATCGCAGCCACTACTGCAACCATGCGAGATCATATGTTATTCATAACCAGCAATAGAAAACAAATTGTCTATTGTTGTCTTTTCGGCAGATCTGAGTGTTGGGGTAAAATCCCAAATAATAATGGTGGGTCTGGTGTCAAAATATTGAATGTAATCAAAGTAGAAAGAGAGCAATTTAGAAATCATCTGCCCCACAGATGGGGGAAGGGGGAGGGATGGGGTTTTACTGGGTTTTTTGGTGGTGGAGAATGGGCATTGGTGAAGGTATGGATGTTTCATTGTATGACTGAGACTTAAACCCAAAAGATTTGTAACTGCTATCATGGTGATTCAATAAATAAAATCTTAAAAAATGGAGGGAAAAAAGAGAAAGAATTACTCCTGGTGGTGCTCGGGGGACCATATGGAATGCCGGGAAGCAAATTTGAGTTGGCTATGTGTATGGCAAATGCCCTACCCAGTGTACTTTCATTCCAGCCCCTTGACACTGTTTTTTAATTAGAAAATGTAGAATATTATTACTTATGACATTCTCATATGTTCTTTCAGTTAATATAATTCGTCTCAAAGATTGAAGACATCTATTCAAGGGCCATAGAACTTCCAATATAAATTAAACTCAGTAGTTTATATGAACCCAGATATTTTCATTTCTATTTTTCACTTCTATGGCATCAGAATTTATCAATTCAGTACATAATAGAGTGGAAAGGGTTTGGACCACGTAATCATATAACTATGGTCTCATATTCAGACTGTGATCAACCTGACGTGGGCCTGGGGGTCCTTCCAAATGCCCAACCCCAAGGGGAGGTCATGAGGACCAGATACCACATTCATTGTACAACATATCATATCTGGTAGAATGCCACGAAAAAGTTGGAACTCAATAGATATTTACTCCCTTCTCTCTCTTGCCCCCACTAGTTCACTTGTGTTTTTAATGGATCGTCCTTAATGCTGGGCTGCATTGTCTTCTGGATGGATGACTGTTGGAAACCCATTGTCTTAGTCGGCTATTTTTTCCTCTTTAAGAACTTATCCTGGCATTGAGTAATGAAAATTTTGGTAAGTAAAGTTAGATGAAGTTCACAGAAGAACTTCTCTTAAAGAATCACCTAGTGAGTTATACAATTTCTTCAAAGGTCTTGGGATGTCCTTGCTGTGCATGTAGAGATTGTGGAAAAGAATGAAATTGATATTTTAACACTAATACTCTTGGTATGGCTGTAAATACACAATTACATATCTCGTTCTATTCTTTCATAAAATGCCAGTGCACTTAGTAAATTGTGAAGTCTTTGAGGACCAAGTCCAGGTATCACTCAGTCATTGAACCTGAATAAGTGACGTGAAGTTTTAGTGGTTCCAGTAACCACCAGAAAGCTCTCTGAAACAATAGAGCTTTTGACAACATAAAAGAAATGGGCAAAAATATCAAAACTCTAGAGGTTATACAATAACTGATTTCCCGAAATCATACATAAAATAACTATTATGTACTGGAACATGGAATGGGGTGTCTTTAGTTCCATTAAAATGGTTTTCCTACAAATTATAAAATGTCTCAATTTTAATAAAGTACAAGATACTAATATATTTAGAGAATCTATATTAGCAATTTATGTTATTGATCTTCACTGTATACTGGGGTCCAGAGATAAATATATAGGGACTAAGGTGTTTGCCTTGAATGTAGCCAACCAATCAGTTCTAGGAGTTATCCCTGAGCACAGAGCTAGGAGTAGACCCTTAGCATCCTGGGTGTAGCTTAAAGGTAAAGGTACAGGTAAAGGTAAAGGTAAAGGTAAAGGTAAAGGTAAAGGTAAAGGTAAAGGCCCTCCTGTTGATCGTCGATTTGCTCGAGCGGGCCCAGTAACATCTCCATTGGAGACTTTGTTGTTACATATCGAATACTCTTGGTAGCTTGCCGGGCTCTCCGAGAGGGGCAGAGGAATCGAACTCGGGTCGGCCATGTTGGCCGCTTGTAAGGCGAACGCCCTACCGCTGTGCTATCGCTCCAGCCCTTAAAAACAAACAAACAAAAAAAAAGTAGGAAATATGGAAAAGGAAAATAAAGAAGGATATGAGAGAGTTTAAGGATAATACAAGAAAATTACTTGGTAATATTAGATTCTATGCAAATTGCAAGTTTGTTAATTTAAAGTAATTTTACAGAAAAGCATATGAAAAAGAAATTACTAGAGAATTTTGTACATAAGAGACAGAGCTAGAGGTACGGGACTGGGAGGGGAAGCAAGTAAAATACATCTAGCTTCGTCAAGTCTAACGACTTGATAAGGGATATTATTTCTTAACCTAAAATCAAAGGTATTATTTTACATTTCACCTTTAAACATAAAGCAATGTAATAATTGTTATATTTTTTCAGAAACCGGACTGGAGAGGTTGCTTCCCGTACTACTTATGTTTACTCCTGAACATTCACTATTCAACCCAGGCTGGCATTCATGTCTTCATTTTGGGGTAATTTTCTCTATAAATACAAATATCCCCATGTTTTTGCCATGACATCACTGTTCCAAAGTATCTTCTCTATCAAATTGTTTTAGCACCATTTGCTTAAGTCCTACATTGTCCTCAATGTGTATGCAGGGTACAGAGACTTGACTCAGATTCAGTTAACACCCAACAAGTATCTCAATATTTTGGTAATCCCCCAAATTAGTCTCTGCCCTTAGAACTGAATGAAATCTCTTAACACCTAACTAAATTGTGAAGTATGCCTTTATTTGTATCTTGAATAATTTCCACAGTAGTAAAATAGCACTCCTTTACACTACTTTTTTTTCTCTCTCTAGCACCGTTTCTTTTGAACCCTATACTAGTTCAATTTAAAACACTTCACTCTTGATGGAGCTAAGCCTTTTGCTTTCCTCCTAATAAGCACTCATATTTTCCATACTTATTAGCTTTCCCTCTCTCTTAACTGCAGCTAATACTCTGTCCTCTGTTGGCTCAAAACACATTCTATAGTATGATTCCCAACAAATTTCTTCAGGGTATGGAAACACATAGAGTTGTTCAAGTAAATCTTCCCCACAAGATAGAGTAGTGCCAGCGCTCATGTTTCTATAAAACTCCACTGGGGCAATTATTTATCCTGAAACTCTTTCAATCACTCCTCAGTGACTTGGTCAATGCATGTGTCTTTTGCCCACATATTGCACTTACATTTTACCAAAATGAGTACTAATATCTATCATGTTTATGAGAAAAAATGCTGCAAGCACAGTAATATTGAGTAATATTGTAACTAGCATGCAAGAGGGATATTGAAACTACTGTAGAGAATATTCACTGTCAGAATCATTATATAAAAATGATTATTGCATATTGAAAGATTTTGCTTAAGCCTTTGACTTATAAGGCAGACAGAACCTCTACTTAATGGAAAATAATAATGTATTAAACCACATTTATTGACCACACACTAGCCACTGTTCTTATTCGTAAATTATTTCCCCAAATTTAGACTGTTCTCTAACCCAGATTGATCTGTCCCCAGTAGCCCACAGAGTCAGGAATATACTATACTTTTGGCATCTATATTCATCTACAAGGTTGTTCAGTGCTCAGAGGCAAGAAGAGAACACAGATTTTCACTAGTCTAAAGAAAAGAGTCTTGGGGCTGGAGCGATAGCAAGTGGGTAGGGCGGTTTGCCTTGCACGCAGCCAACATGGCAGATACAGATTCGATTCCCAGCATCCCATATGGTTCCCTGAGCACCACCAGGAGTGATTTCTGAGTGCATGAGCCAGGAGTAACCCCTGAGCATCGCCAGGTGTGACCCAAAAAGAAAAAAAAAAAGAAAAGAGTCTTGCACAGGGATTACTCCTGGCTCATGTACTTAGGAATTACTCCTTGTGGTGCTTAGGGGACTATATGGGATGCTGGGAGAACTTGTGCCTTGTGCAAAGCATATGCCGTACCCATTGTGCTATCATTCCAGCCCCAAGAAAAGAGTCTTAATTCCTGTTTTGACCACCTTGGTCTTCCCAAAACTATTGCATTCATTCAAAATGTTTGATTATTGTGTCTGCTTTCAGCTGTATCAGTGTGGTTCTTCCTAAAACAGAAGCTCACTACTGGCCAGAGGTAATACAAGATTTGGAAAGAATTGAAAAGCTTATTCAAGTGAGTACTAATTTTCCATAAAATACCTAGTACAACTGTGCTAAAGAATGCCTCTTCCTGTGTTATGTTGTCAATCATTTTTTTTAAAAATTCTATTTTATTTACTGGGGAGGGGGCTCCCCCATGGTAGTCAGGGAGCAGAGAGCCTCTTACAGTGATCCTCAGCCCAGTCACTGGGCTGGTGACCAGTTGGTCGTGAGCTCAGTATGGGGTGGGAGGCAGGGGGAGCAGATGTGCTCAGGCTTTGAACTCTGGGCCTTGCCCAGATTATGAAATTTACCCTTTTGAAATATTTCCTTGGCCTTGACATAATATTTCTGTAGCAATACGTAAGCCTGAGTGGATTTCACATTTTCTTACAATTTGGGGGCCCCTAATTCCCTTTATATCTTATTAAATCTTCAGACCACTCTTAAGTGCTCTGTCTTCACAGGCTAAAGACCCTTTTTCCCTAAAAGAGAAACCAGGTAGTTGGGAGACACATGTGTGGATGCCATGCACACAGTTGAAGCCAGTTCTATTCTCAGGACTGGGACTGAATTTATCCAGGGCCATAAAACAAACTAACAAATTTAACCAAACTAAATACATGCAGGGTGTATTCTCTGGTCAAAGTAGAATTAACTAGAAGTTATTATGTACATACAAGAGGAAAATCACAAAACACTTAGAAATTTGATCATAGACCATGGGTCAATGGTGCATTTTGAAATAAGGAATATGCAGAGCTGAATAAAAATATAAATACAGTATGTCAAGATACGTGTATTCTACTAATGGAATATGGAGAAGGAAATTTCTAAGATTGAAAGATTATTTTAGAAAGCAAAGAAGATCTCAGGTCAATGATCTAAGTCCCCTCCTCAAGACTGGAAAAAAAATAAAACCCAGTACTAGAGGAAGAAAATAAAATAAAAATGAGAAATTAAGAAAATTCAAATCAGGAAGGCAATAGAGAAAATTAATAAAATATGTCCTTATTGTTTGTGGAGAAGTCAATAAAATTGATAAGCTTCTAGCAAGACTAAGAAAGATGGAAAGAAAGAAGACAGAAACTTCAATATCAGAATTGAAATGGAGACCTTCCACACCAGTGTTAAGCCTGGGATTCTGGGTTCCCAAAGATCTCAGATCAACAATCTAAGCCACCTTCTCAAGACTAGAAAAAGAAAAGAAAATAAAAAACAGTGCAGAAAGAAAAAAAGGAATTAAAGATAAGAAGCCAAAACCTTAAACACAATAACTATAAGTTTCAATAGCACTGCAATCATGCAATCATATCCTAAACTATGATAAAAATATTTTTAAATAAGATAGGCAATTTTTTAAAAGTATAACCTACTTTTCCATATGATCTAATAATGTACTCTTGAATATTTGTGTCAGAGAAAAGAAAACTTATCTTCACTCAAAAACATGAACATAAATTTAATTGTTAATAGTTTTAATAGTTTAATAGTTTAATAGTTTAATTTAATAGTTCAAATCCTCAGACAACCCAAATGTCCTTCAAAGGCAAATAGTATCATGCAATTTATCATAGACTAATGCTAAAAAATATAAGAAAAGTGCTGGTGGTACTCACAAATTGGACAGATCACCAGAGTATTATGTGTATGGGAAATAAAGCAACCTGAATTAACAAAAGCTGTGGTACATCATTACAATAGAATATTAGTCTCTGAGTCAAAAAAAAATATACAAGCTAGCTAGCCATGAAAAGACATGGCAGAAACTTAAAGATACACTGTTAAGTAAAAGAAACCAATATGAAGAGATTTCTATTGCATAATGCCAGATCTGGGAAAGCTCAAAGCTACAGTTACAGTAAAAAAGATCAGTAGTTGTCAAGAGTTAGTGGAGAGGGAAGGTGGATTCGGTGAATCTCAGGTGATTTTAAAGCAGTAAAATTATTTTGAATAATAAGGTAATGGTGGATACATGTCATTAGACAGCAATGAACAGTTTGGGAATGTAATATACAGTGAACCATAAGATAAGCTCTGTGCTTCAGTTAAACATTTATCAGCACTAGGGTCAGGGAGGAAGCCTATGCCTGGCATATGAGAGGCTGCCCTGAGTTCAGTACTGCATGCCCTGTACCCCTGGCACTGCCAGTTGTGGCTCTAATAGCCACCAAGCACCTCTAAAGAGCACCATGAGTATGGCCTCTTTATAAACACATGTGTAAGTATCCATATTGATTCACCAGATATAATATGTATGTTAATATCAGACTAATGCAACATGTTAATAATGTGGAGACTGGGGAGAAGGTCACGGGGATGTCCACACAAACTCTGTGCTCTGTAAACTCATGTTCTGCGAACCTACAGCTGCTTGGAACAGAAAGTCTCCAACATCTCCCCTCTCCATCCCCTGCCAAATCCCATCTCTAAAGATTACATGCTGGAAGATTGAGCTTTTATAGTCTCCTGGAAATGACAGCTATCAAGGGAATGGAGAACAGAGAGGTAGATGCCAGAGCTTAGAGAGAAGGGGCAGAGGTGGGCGGATACGTGGAGGGAGGTGAGGTTGACTCTAGAAAGGATGCGGGCAGATCCTTTTTTGATGGTTCTGTGGTGCTCATGGTAATCTATACATCTGATCAGTTCATATAGACACACACACGCAAACGCACACACAACCTATACGCAGTGTCTTTGTCAATTTCCATATTGAGCTTCTGTCTGATGCTTAGATCACGTTGGGAGAAATTGGTGAGGAGGGCACAGGATCTTTCTGTGTTTTCTCTAAAATTACATCAAAATCTAAAATTAGCGCAAAATAATTCCAACAAAAAGCTCAAAAAAGCTTAACTTGATATTTTCAGCAGGTTGCTTTCATATGTAAAGCAGAAAATCACATTTCATATTATCAAATTTTGTTTTCTTTCAGTCTATTCATATTGATGCCACTTTATATACTGAAAGTAATGTAAGTATAGTTTTTTTTTTCAAAATTGGTAATGTCTCTGATTATCAAAAAGTCTCTTTTTATAGTGTGCTGATGTATATATTTAAATCTAACTTTTGGTGTGTTCTACCAACATATTATTAAGGAATATTTTAAATAATTGTTGAGGTTGTAAGACTTGGGAGAAAGAACTATGGAGATCCTGTTTTGATATGAGAGCCAAATCAAAGTATAAAAAAACTTTTTCATCAATTTCAAACTGAAGTTATTACACTTTTGGGGGTTGGATGGGTCGGCCACGAGCAAGGCAAATGTCCTACCTGCTGTGCTATCGCTCCAGCCAGGGTTGATTCTTCCACCCCTCTTGGAGAGCCTGGCAAGCTCCCGAGAATATCTTACCCACACGGCAAAAGCCTGGCAAGCTCCCCGTGACATCTTCGATATGCCAAACACAGTAACAACAAGTGTCACAATAGAGACGTTACTGGGCCCGCTTGAGCGAATCAATGAACAACAGGAGGACAGTGACAGTGACTTTTGGGGGATGCAATTAGTGCACAATGCAATTAAATGCAGAAATCAGGTTAACTGAGTCAATTGAAAAATATCCAATATGTCAGTTCTTCCCCGGGTGTTGTACACTACGGTTCTTAATCGTATTTCCTGCAAATTGCTAAATGCATTCATGTTCTATACTTTTTCATCAATCTCACTAATTGTCAGGCAGGAATTCTGGCTGGTTACTTCTTTGTGAGAAGAGAAACAAACACAATCCATAAAATCTATCAAAATTCAAAAATAATCTTGTGCTTGTTTTCATTAATATGCGGACATTGCTTAAGGCTTGTGTAGTTTTTGTCATCTTGCTAATGGTTCTTAAAAAACAAAAAACACGTTTTCAACATCTCCTGGTGGAAAACCAACTGTGTTGTAATTGCTCAGAACTGTAAGTCCCTTCTCTTATTTCCTTGATTGGAAATTTGAAGTGGAAGATTTTCATGCCCCCACCCCCAATATGAATTTCTTAGAATTGGAAAGCAATCTGAATGTTAGATTCTCATTTTCTCAGGGAGAAAGCTGACATGAGGGATCTATGTTTCTCATCGTATGTTCTTTCTCTGAAACAATTGCTCCATCTTTCTTGATTGTTTGATTGTCAGCTTTTATTTCAAAGTGGAAAAAGACAAAAACTCCAGCTGCTTGCCCTTGAGTTTAGGGGCATTGCATTGCCTTATAAAATATTTGGCTTGAGTTTTAAAAAAAATTCAGAATTATCTTATGTGAAAATGCGTAATGGAAGAATAGTCTTATTTTTTTTACCATGGTTCTTAGGCTCTTTTTTATCCTGGTTGTAAATTAATATTTAGATTGACTTTTTTTTAAAGATCAAGCTTCATCTAGGTGAGAATGAATGATGGGAACAACTATATATTTTATTCTGGTTCCTTGTAACTCTTTTGCAGTTGAGTTGCTCCGTGACAGCAATGAGTTGTTTTATCCTGGAGCTCCACGTTATTTTACAAGAGTGCAAAGATAAGGAAATTCAAGAAACAGTAGAAAACATTATCATAAATGCAAACAGCAGTTTGTCTTCAAGACGGGTGAGTTATCTAGTTGACCTGTGAGTTTTGCACATGTACAGAACTATATTAGATATTTGGGGCCTGATTGGAGAGAGTTAAATTGATTTTCATGACAAACAGACCCTTTTAAGGGTCCCCAGGAATGGAGTTTGGTTACAAAATTGTGGTATCCTGCAGTGAACCATCCTTGGCATGCACTCAGTCCTTAATTTTTCATTCGTCTAGCAGACATGTGCCTTCTGCTGAAGGAATATTCTGGTGCCAGAGTGGCGAATGGTCATTCAGATAACTGACCTCATAAATCTAACTGACAACATTTATCGTCAGGTACAATGGGTAAAGATTAATCTAATTACATACCAAACTATTTAACGTCAGTAATAGTGGTCACATTTATTGCCTCACTACTGTGAGCCACACTGATATTTGAGGTTTAAGTGATGGTGTGTTGAAGGCTCAAAATGGATCTGCGAGATGTTTACCCTCATGTTTGTTGAGAGATTGAAGAAAGTAGAACTTGGAGAGTTTGAGTCACCTTCTCCAATTTCTCTGAGTAGTAAAAGTCCCAGTCATACCCCACTAACACAGCCCAGAGTGTGTCTTTGCTTTTTTCTGAGTGTCTTTGCTTCCTGGATGTCTGGGAAAGCAGGAGAAAAAAAAGACTAGTCACCATGGCAGGCAGAAGGAGGTGAGGAACGAGGTGCTCAACTAGACAAAGGTTCAAGAGTCCTAAGGGTGATGATTTCCTTCATAGCCAGAGCATGGCAAGAGAAATAAGTTTTATAAGCAAAATGGCATGGTAATAATTTGTGGACTTAGTGAATACTTTTGGGCCTGCATGGTTGACCCTCAAAATAGCAGTGGAAGGAAAGCACTGGTAATCTTCCATGCCCATCAGGAGGGGGGAAGCTGATAGAAAACACATCAGTAACAAACCACTTAGTCTTTAAGTCTCAGGGCAAAAAGAGAGGGTCAAAAGAAGGAAGCTGGGGTCTTCTGGAGAGCACCTGAGAACTCTGGTGTGGGTAGCAGAAGTCAAAATAGGAAGTGTGAAACAGGAGTTGAGGAAAACATCAGAAGACTGTATGTATACTATGTGTTTTCCTCTCCACATCTCCCATACACACAGCATCCATACAGGGATGTGGAGGGGGAGGAAGGCAGCACCCAGGGCCCAGAGGTGGTTACGGTGAAACAGGTAAGGAAGGAGTACCTCAGGAGAGCGGTGGGCCGTGCAGGCCGACCTGAGGTTGAGGTTAGGAGAGATAGTAAAAATACCTCCCCGGAAGGCACCCACACAGGAAGTCACTCTTTGGCCTGAAGGACATGGCTTATTTGTTTCAACATCATAACCCGGCTGAGGAAGGCTGCTTTACCGTCTCAGGCTCCTACTTCATTTGAGAAACGACACCTGTGTGCATTTGCAAAAGCATTTCAGATCCATGGTGCATTTTATTTGGAGTTCATTTCTGGTTGTTGCATTCAAAGACCTTCTATTAATGACCAAAATTTTTGTGACCCTCACGCCCCCCCACACACATTTCAGTTCTGTGATCCTGTATGTAGTTAGGTCCCAGCTTTTTATTTTGGGTTTTGGGTCACACCCTGCTATGATCAGACTTACTCCTGACTCTGTTCAAGGATCACTACTGGTGAGCCTCGGGGGACCATTTTTGGTGCTGGAGATTGAATCTGTGTCAGCTGTGTGCAAGGCAAGTGCCTTATCCACTGAGCTATCTCTAGTCCATTGACAGTTTAAAATACTAGGCACTAGGTACTGGAGCAATAATTTAGCCGGTTAAGGTGTTTTACTTTGCATATGGCCAACCTGGTTTGAATCCTGGCATCTCATATAGTCCCCCAAGCAGCTCCAGGAATAATTTTTGAGGGCAGAGCCAGGAGTAATCCTCGAACATCACTGAGTGTGGCCCCCAAAACCAAAATGAATAAATAAAAATCTTAAAAACTAAGCCTTAGAGTGAAAACAAGGATCAGAGATTCCGGCTGCCTTGTCTTCTAATGCATCCTACCAGGATAGCAGTCTACTCCTGTTTTCCTTTCTCAAGACCACACTCCATGGCTCGAGTCTGACATCCTGTGCTCTTCCTAGGAACCAAATCCAGTTGATTTTCCAATATAATGCTTTTTCTTTCTCTTTGGCAGAATGTAACAGAAGGCCAATGCAAACAGTGTGAGGAGCTGGAGGAAAAGAGTATAAAGGAATTTGTTGTGACTTATAAGCAGATTGTACAAGGGTTCCTGGGCGGCAAGTGATTGCCTTCAGTGTTTTGCTGGCTACCGAACACCTCCCCACTGCCTGGGGCAACACCACAATGCTATGGATTCACCGCTGGACAGAACAAGAGTCTCCAGCAAGATGATGAGGGTCTTAGATCTGCAATGAGGGTCTTTGATTAGCAATGAAGACTAGAAAGCAACTTGTGACTATGGACTTTTTGTCTTCCTCCTTTTAATTTATTATTGCAACTGTAAATATCTGTACCATATCATGTTAAATAAAAGTATGTGCATATTTCATCCCTTGAAATTGACTTGATATTTTATCTCCTATAAGAAATTAAAAGGCCCTCCCGTTGATCGTCGATTTGCTCGAGCGGGCCCAGTAACGTCTCCATTGGAGACTTTGTTATATAAGAAATTAACTGGACCGGGCTGGAGAGATAGCACAGCGGGTAGGGCTTTTGCCTTGCACACGGCCAACCCAGGTTCTATTCCCAGCATCCCATATGGTCCCCAGAGTACCACCAGGAGTAGTTCCTCAGTGCAGAGCCAGGAGTATCCCCTGGGCATGGCTGGGTGTGACCCAAAAAGAAAAAGAAAAAAAAAAAGAAAAGAAATTAACTGGACCTTTGTTCCTTGGTGCTATCAAGTGATATAACAAACCAGAGTTGTTGGGGCACTGCTGCTGGTCCAACCAGTGAAGAACCCTGGGTCAACTCAGGGTCAACCCTGGGTCAACTCTCCTTTCCTCTTCCATGAGGTGTCATAGCCTCGGGAGGATTGATTCTCAAGGACAAAGGAGAAAGAGGTGTTTCCCTGAGACATTTTTGTGGAATTTAGTTATTAAGATGAAGGCTTCTTATGAGACCAAGAAATGACAAATACCTAGCAGGTATCAGATATCAGAGCCTTTTTTGGTGGGGTCAATAATAAATCTCTATTGATAGCTTGATTTTTAGTTTTGTTTTAAAGGACAAAGTTGAATCTGCTTTAATATAAAGTCCTAAGAGTTTACTTATATTTTTTTCTTTTCTTATTTATTTATTTTTTTAAATTTAATTTAATTTTTTTTTTTTTTTGCTTTTTGGGTCACACCTGGCAATGCACAGGAGTTACTCCTGGTTCATGCACTCAGGAATTACTCCTGGTGGTGCTCGGGGGACCATATGGGATGCTGGGAATCAAACCCGGGTCAGCTGTGTGCAAGGCAAACTCCCTATCTGCTGTGCTATCACTCCAGCCCCACTTTTTGTATTTATTTTAAAGATTTTTTTATTGAATCACTATGAGATAGACCCTAACAAAACTGTGCATGATTGAGTTTCATTCATAGAGTGTTCCAACACCCATCCCTTCAGCAGTGTACATCATTTCCCAGCACCAGTGTCTTCAGTTTCTCTACCATCACCCCCCCACCCCAGCATGCCTTTATGGCAGGCACTTTTCTTCTCTCACTCGCTCACTCTCTCTCTTGCTCTCTCTCGCTCGCTCGCTCTCACTCTCACACTCTCTCTCTCATTTTGGGCATTGTGGTTTGCAATAGAGATACTGAAAAGTTATCATGTAAATCACTTTACCTACTTTTAATGCTCAGTTCTTGTTCAGTGTGATCATTTCCAGCTATTATTGCCATACTGGTCCCTTCACTATCTTACCTATCCTCTACCCCGCCGCTTTGATGTTTCATGCAGTTGCAAGTTCAGGTATCTAATTTTCACATTCTTTTTGCTCTGGTTGTAGAATTACTGATTTATTAGAGCCAACATTATGTGACAGAAAGTAATTTGTACAAATAATAAAAATCAGGCCTGGAGAAAGGGACCCTCCTTCACTGCTGGTGGGAATGCCGACTGGTTCAGCCCTTTTGGAAAACAGTATGGATGATTCTCAAAAAACTAGAAATTGAGCTCCCATTTGACCCAGCAATACCACTCCTGGGAATATATCCCAGAGAGGCAAAAAAGTATAGTCAAAGTGACATATGCACTTGTTTGTTCATTGCAGCACTCTTTACAATAGCCAGAAACTGGAAGAAACCTGAATGCCCAAGAACAGATGACTGGTTAAAGAAACTTTGGTACATCTACACAATGGAGTACTATGTAGCTGTTAGAAAAGATGAAGTCATGACATTTACATACAAGTGGTACAATATGGAAAGTATCATGTTAAGTGAAATGAATCAGAAAGAGAGAGATAGACATAGAAAGATTGCATTCATCTGGAGAACATAAAGTAACAAAATAGGAGACTAACACCCAAGAATGGCTGAGATTAGTACCAGGAATTTTGTTCCATGGCTTGGAGGCCAGCCATACATGCTAGGGGAAAAGGCAACTCAGATAGAGAAGGGAGCACCAAATAAAGGGTGTTGGGAGGATCCTCCTAGGATGGGAGAAGCATGCTGAAAGTAGACTATAGACCAAACATGATTGCCACTCAATGCCTCTTTTGCAAACCACAACACCCAAAAGGAGAGATATAACAAAGGGGAATGCCCTGCCACAGACAGAGGGGGGGATGGGAGGGATAGGGGGTGGGAGGGATACTGGGATTCGTGGTGGTGGGAAATGGGCACTGGTGGAGGGATGGGTATTTGATCATTGTATAATTGAAAACCAAACACAAAATTTGTAAGTCTACAACTGTACCTCATGGTGTCTCACTAATAAAAATTTAAAAAAATCAGGTCTGCATCTATCTTTCTATATAAACATAGCTATATCAAATGTATATGTTTATGTTACACACATATGTTTACTATATACTGTCTGGAATTTGCAAGTTCTCTTTCAAAGGTAGTCTGAGATGAAATAGTCATGTCTCATTACAAATTCCTTTTACTCAATTCACTTCTGGAAGTCTTCGCTGAGAGTTTGTAGGGTAGCAACTGGACTTCTGTGAAATTCTTCCTCTTCATTTCATTTTGAGAATTTTGAGTCTCAATTTTCTCTAGCAGTGTTTCTCAACCTTTGCAACTTTTTTGACCTGGTTTCTTTCCTGTAGAATTCTCACCCCAACCTACCAGTTGGCTGCGCCTCAGCCTTGAACTTGGCCCCATCTATGTGGTTTCCAACTGTGGTCCTGTTGGAATATACTGGAGAGCCACAGAAACACTGACCTAGACAGAAAATTGCCATAGATACCATGGGCATCTTCCCTCCTTCCCTGAGTGCCAAAAATGCTGGTCGTATATTGTATGCAATAAAGAAAGCGGAAATTCTTAGAATCTTAAAGGTTAAAGAATCACCAGGAGGGGTCCTCGGACCTCCTGAATGCTACTGGGAGACCATCCCACAAATAAAAAAAGAAATAGTAATGGCAAGCCCAGTGAAAAACAGGTTTGCAATTCCAAATCATATTGAATTATATTCTCATCTTTTCTTAATTTTAGATAAAGGAAATGGTAAAGGAGAGAAAGTCATTTCTAACCTCTCTCTGACAATAAGCAGAAAGAACTAGAAAGCAAAGGGCACAAAAACAAACAGAAACAATAAATAATTTGTGAGCCCAGAGAGCTTTCAAACCACCACAAGTCTAGTTTCATATACTCACATTCTTCATCTTAGCACAGAGAATCAATGAAATTATTTTGTTTTTCTACTGTTATTGTGAGAGGGGGTTATAAGTTTTGACATGTTACTGTTTAATGGCCATTAAATTCAATGACTCTTAAGGTCAAACTGACATATGCAATTTGAAAATCAAGTAGCATGATTAATCCCTCTGCTCCTCACACATACCCAGAAATACTAGCAGATGCATTTTTTAATCCTTTATCTGTGTTCTATCAGACTCGGGGTAAGCTTTCTGTGTAAATATGCTAGTCACAGTTACCATATGCATGTCAAGTATAAATATTTTGCCCAGAGGAAATCCCATTTCCATAAAGACATGGTTCATTGCTTCTGAATGTGCCTGATGACTAAAGTAAGGAATTTATCATGCAAGGTAAACTTTAGTTTCATTGAAAAATTTAATTGTATAATCTGTCTGTTGCAACATAGAAGAAAAATGAATGAATCTTTCATAGTCATGATTTTGTCCTAAATTCTACTTCTTCAATTGTGAGTTTCAAAATAGGTTAAGAGAGGTATTTTGGAGGAAATTTTTATACAGAAGTAGAACTGAAAACTGTATTCTCGAATTTTACAAAATGTTGAGATTATCAGCAGATGCAGATTTAATTATCATCTTCATCTTCAGTATCCAGGGAATTCACACCTTCAGTCATATTGTAACCATATGTGAAAACTTAGAATAATATCTTGCTAGAGTTACCTGTGGTGCTGAGACAGTGACTGTCCCGGTCTTAAGCCTCATGGAGTGTACGTTCTACACCAATTCCGTGATGAAATCAATCACTCAAGTGGTTATTCAGTTATTCCCAGTTTTAGTAAGGTACTGGAGAGTACACAAAGGAAAGAGATATTTCTGTGAAATAAGAGAGACACTGAAATCTTTGAGACACTGATACTGAGATCAACTATGATCACTTGACATCCCGTTACTCATTGATTTGCTTGAGAGGGCACCAGTAACGTCTCCATTTGTCCCTGTTGCATGCTAGTGTAGCCCAATGACATCTGATCATTCTAGGAACACGAAGAACCTCAAAGCGATCATTCAGGGTCTTGACAAAGAAGTCTGACCATCTCGTAGGTGGGCGGCCACAGGATCTTTGATGTCCCGTGGAATCCAGGAGATCAACTATGAACAATTGAAAGTTAGCTATGAGGGAGTTTGAAAATTAAATTGAGGAAACAGCCTGGAAAACCTTTAGACTGAGGAATCAAGACGTGTTCAGAGTGGAAGGAAGACCATCGTACCTGGGGTCAGTGAGTACATCCAAAAAATTAGGATACAGAGGAAAATACTGATCTAATAGTCTCTAGTAAGGATTTTTTCCCTTTGTACTTTAAAATAAAGAGATGCATTCTGACAAATGTGAGAAGAATAGAGGAAGAATTGTTCTGACTGTCTAGAGAAAAGTTAAAGTCAAAATGTATCACGAAATCATAGAATAACAAAATTACTTCAAATAACATCTTTTTTTTCCTCCCTAAGAACATCTTAAATGAGT